CGTGCACCCCAATGTTTATAGCAGCATTATCAACAACAGCCCAATTAGGAAGGGGCCAAATGTCCATCAACTGATGAATGGATAAAGATGTGCTACATATACACAATGGAAAACTCAGCAACAATAAAGAATGAAATCTTTATCTAACAATGTGGATAGAACTGGAGGGTTATTATGCTAAGCGAAATAAGTCAGGTGGAGAAAGACAGGTATCATATAATTTCACTCAATGTGGAATTTGAGAAACTTAACAGATGACCACAAGGGAAGCGAAGGAAAAATAAGATACAAAGAGGGAGGCAAACCATAATAGATTCTTAAATACAGAGAACTGAGGGTTGATGGGAGTGGGGGTTGGGGGGATGGGGAAAATGGGTGATGGGCATTGAGGAGGACACTTGTTGGGATGAGCACTGGGTAGCATATGTAAGGGATGAATCATGGGAATCTACTCCTGAAGCCAAGACTACACTCATTAGCTAGCTTGACAATAAATAAAAAATAAACAAACAATGAAATAGATATACATAATATTAAAAATTGTCTGGAAAATGTCTTAAAAAATAACTTCTATTACATAGTAATTAACAGCAAGAAAATACTTTTATGTACAGCAGGGACTTTTAATTATCACAAAATACTTAAATACGTGAAACAACTCACTCCTTGATAATTATTTTCAACTTCATGCCTAACTGGCTACTTAAGACTGATTTAAGAAACATGAAAAGGATTTTACCTCTATGTTAGTGGACGTACAACGTATAAAGATATAATTTGTGACAATAACTACACAAAGGAGGAGTGCAGAGTTGTATACAAACAGTTTTTGTATACTATTGCAGCTAAGTTTGTATTAATTCACACTAGACTGTCGTAAATTTAAGATGTCAATTGCAAACCCCTAACCACCAAGAAAATAATTAGAATGACGGAGAAAAGGAATGAGAAGGGAATCGATCCAGTATACTACAAAAAAAAAAATCAAACACAAAAAACAGTAATAAAGGTGTTGACAGAAGTATAAGATATATAGCAAACAGCAAAATGGCAGTTTTATCAGTCATGTAAAAAAATTAAAAAAAAATTTTTTAATGTTTATTTTTGAGAGAGAGGGAGAGCGTGATCAGGAGAGAGGAAGAAGAGTGAGTGAGTGGAGAGAGAGAGAATCCAAAGCGGGCTCTGCGCAGAGACCCCTATGGGGGCTGGAACTCACAAACTGTGAGATTATGATCTGAGCTGAAGTTGGAAGCTTAACTGACCGAACCACCCAGGCACCCCTAAAAAATTTTTTAATGTTTTATTTACTTTTGAAAGAAACAGACAAGAGTGTGAACATGGGAGTAGCAGAGAGAGACACACATAATCCAAATCAGGCTCCAGGCTGTCAGCAGAGCTTGGTGCAGGGCTCAAACTCAGGAACCATGAGATCATGACCTGAGCTGAGTCAGATGCTTAATGACTGAGCCACCCAGGTGTCCTATCAGTCATTATTTTAAGTATAAATGGCTTAAAGTCTCCAATTGAAAAAAGGAGAGAATGGAAGAATGGATTAAAAACACATTAACTACAGGCTGTCTACAAGAGACTCACTTTAGACCCCAAACACAAAAAAGGTTGTGAGAAAGAATGGAAAAAAGATATTGTATGCAAACAGTAACCAAGAGAGAGCTAGAGTGGCTCTATTACTATCAGACAAAATGAACTCTTAAGTAAAAAACTGTACAAGAGACAAGGAACGATAATATATATTAAGGGTCAATATATCAAAAAGAATAATCAGGGGTGCCTGGGTGGCTCAGTGGGTTAAGCACCAACTTCAGCTCAGGTCACCATCTCACAGTATGTGAGTTCAAGCCCCGTGCTGGGCTCTGTGCTGACAGCTCAGAGCCTGGAAGCTGCTTCAGATTCTTTATCTCCCTCTCTCTCTGCCCCTTCCCTGCTCACACTCTACCTCTCAAAAATAAATGAATGTTAAAAAAAGTTTTTAAAAACCACTGTGAACAACTGTACACCAACAAACTGGATAACCAAAATGAAATCAACAAACTCCTAGAGACAAAACACTGTATCTGACTCAAGAAGAAAGAGAAAACCTGAACAGATCTATGAGCAAAGAGACTGAATGAATTAAAAATTTCTCCACAGAGAAAAGCCCAGGACCAGATGTCTCCACTGGTGCAAATATTTAAAGAATTAACACCAACCCTTCTCAAAGTTGTCAAAAAACAGAAGAGGAAATAACACTGTATAACTATTTCAACTGATAGCAAAGTCAAAGACACAAGATTACTACAGACCAATCAATATCCCTTATGAATATATAATGCAAAAATCCTCATCAAAATACTAGCAACCCAAAATGACAACATATTAAAAAGATTATACACCATGATGAAGTGGGATTTATGTCAGGCATGCAAAGGTGGTTCAACATATGAAAACCAATAGACGTAATACACCAATTTAATAGAACAAAGGAAAAAAGTCACAATTGTCTCAGTTGATGCAGAAAAAGCATTGGACAAATCTCAACAGTCTTTAATGATAGGAACTCAGAAACCTAAGAATAAAAGGCGATAAAGAGCATTTGTGGAGCACCCACAGCTAACATCATACTTAACAGCACAAGACTGAAAGCTTTCCCCCTAAGATGATGAACAAGACAAGGATGCCTGCTTTAGCCACTTCTATTCAACATCATATTGGGAGATCCAGACAGAGATAGTAGGTAGGCAAGTAAAAGAAATAAAACACACCCACATTGGAAAGGAAAAAGCAAAAACTTAACTCTATTCACAGACAATAGAAAATCCTTAAAAATCCACAAAAATATATTAGACCCAATAATCAAATTCAGCAAA